TCATCGATCGTCTGAGTAAAACTTTCAAAATTGAAATAAAAGAGAACATATTTTGACATTCTGAACATTAGACTGTAGTGATCACTATAAAATAATTTAAAAAACAACAAATCACAGTTACTAAATAAATTACAGCCGCGATGGAAATAAATTGACATTTTGTTGAAATAGGTGAACGCGTCGGGTCACGGCGAGGGCAAGTGCGTTAAAAGCGGCGTTTAATTGGATAACAAAAATAATCGAGATCGACACACATACAGATAAATTCAGAGTGGATTCGAGTTAGCGTGATCCATGGCGTGATTGTCATAATTATAACATCGTATTAAAACTTTATTTGGTGGAAACACATTGACCAAGCCCGGATTCTTATTTCATAAATTATTACGCAGATCAAGCTGCAAGCATGGAGGTAAAAAAGAACAGAGGTGTGAATTCGACATTCAACACCAATCACCAAACAATTCAGAAACTTTTAGCCATCGAAAATGAAAACAGTTAGCAGTGTGTAAGGGCTGTGTAATTTCCTGTTTGTCCGACGCTTCGTTTTCGTGTCACTGTCAAAATTATTGCTACCTTTTACTTAACAGGGACTAAATGGTCTCTATAAAAAGTCAACTGATTTGAAACACTTGCCGGACGTCTCTCTCTCTCTTCTGAAATCCATCTCGGTGATCATGGGCTGGTCCGGAATCTATTTCTTTCGGCGTTTCTCTTTAAGCTTAGTCGTTTTTTTCATGGACGAGGACAGTTCCCCCCCCCCCCAAAAAAAAATCTAAGGTTAAGTGGTGTCGCACCTTCGGATCGATTAGAAACGTGTGAATACATACACTATGACTATACGTTTCACTGCAACTGCCCACAACACAACATCTAAAAACTCTCTCTCAAAAAAAAAAAAAAAATAGACAAAAAAAAGAAAAAACGCCGACCGAAAAATGTATATCGTTTAAAAGTATACTGAACGACCAGTGTTATTACGGCTCAGGGGTATGACTTCCTCTCACATTTTGTCATTTGGTGGCGCACTTTCGGCAAGAGTCAGAAATCCAGGAAATAGTCGTCCGTTTCACGATAGGTGGGCGTGGCTACAACACGAGAAATATCCCCAATTTACTTAGATACGAGTAATCATTTTCAGCAAAAAAATCAATAACTACCCATTTCAGTGGGACACAGATCTAAAATGGGAAATGTGAGGGTGGGCTTTACACAGGCACTTTAAGTATATACGAGTTTATCCTACTTCTTGTCAATCACATAATATCCCATTCCCAACCTAAATAATCATATACTTATGTGAAATAGCCAAATCATATTTCAAGTTTAAATTTCCATTATAATGAAACTTCAGCCCAGACCACTTTGTCAAACCTGGGAGAGTGTACAAATATTGTAGATGCAAAATTCTTTGGTTAAGTTTATGATATGCTAGTAGGGCATTGTGCCAACATTTGTTTTTTAGCTGCTTGGATAGGATAAGCACCAGTACAGTCATGTCAGTTGGCATCCTTTATTTTCATTTCTCCCCCACATGACCGATTTGTGGTGGGAGGACTGGTCAGTTTCGCAGAGGACAAATACAAACAGCAGTACTCGAGGATATTATAACATAATATACACTGACATAGAAGAATGAGCAAAGTACACATATACTGCAGAAAAAAACAATACACATGAAAACCCAACCACACTTATCAAACCACACCAATTCCTGCAAACTTCTTAAGTTATACCCACCTTCATGCGCCATGGGGAAAACAGAGTCGTCGTTACTGGAGTCCGACTCGGACCCTTGATACAAAGGAGGGGATTCAGAACGGTCATTCTCCTTGACGTCACTCCCAAGGGAATCCAGATTAGCCTGCAACCCAAAACGGACAGAAGATTGAACTGTTGGAGGTGTTTTCACTCCACCTACAGTTTCATACAACACGTCTCCGTCAGGCATTACTTCCTTGTGTGTGACATCAGCGGAATCATACGCAGGGTTTTCTTTTTCGTAATAAGTATTCGCATCGACCTGCTGCAAATGAGTTTCAACCTTAGCCTCTGCTCTATACTTGTCCAAGTTCATGTATGTTATGCCACTGTCCTCATTTTTAATGGGACTTGGTGGATCGGGCAACTCGTCTACGCCTCGTTTCGTTGAACTCTTGAATTCAGGGGAATTACTCTTGTCTGCAATCCTCGATCCGCCAGATCGTGGGGCAAACGACGAACACTGTCTGTCTGGCACAGTACTGTACCTCTCGTCTTCAACGCCTTCTTTTTTCTGAATTTTGACTATACCACTTCCACCTGGTCGACGGATGGTGTCTGGTTTGGGTTTTAACTTCGGCTTAGGCCGTTTCTGTGGCATAGCGTAGACAGGTATCTCTGCCCCACCCATAACGGATGGTGGCCGTTCCTGGTTTCGATCTGCCAACACGACCGACCTGGATTCATTATTTCCCTTTGTAACCACGCGTTTTGGGGGTAAAAAATCGTCAATTGTTTCGTAGGGGTGAATTTCGGGCCGCTCTCGCGTGGAGCCAAAAGTTTGACGTCGGGGGTCGATGTCGACGACGATTGGTCGTGAACTTACCATGTCGTCCAGTGAAGATTGCTGTTGTAGCGTTCCACGTGTGGCATTTGTTCTGGGTCCAGCGAACGATCCATTTGTACCGGCATATTTTATAGAAGCAATATCTCTCTTAAAATTATCGATCGATTCTATCTGATTATCGATCCAGTCTTTAAGGAACTCCTGCTGCTGTAATTCCCATTTCAGCTCATTGATTCTGTCTGATACCTTTTGTTGTTCGTCACACAACACAGCCTTGGTTCTGCCTCTATTAGCACCCGCTGTCAAGAACGACGCATCGGGTGGATTTTTACCAGGAAATTGGCTTTCCCACGCCTTCGAAAAGTCCTCCGATAAACTAAACATCGTGGTAACACACTGTACGCACGGTAGTGACTACATTTACGTCGAAATAATCCAGATTTTCGCGACGACGTCGTACATTTCTCAACCAAAACCACAATAGTCTCCAGGTGAACTTTGACACCTCTTGCATGTGACCAAAGTTTGTTATTATATCCTTATTAGGAAACTATATGCCCATATAAGGAAACAGATAAACATGACATCATGAGATTTTAATGTAACGTGTTTTTCGCATGGGTATTTCAACAGCAATACAAAATTCGAATTAATATTCGAACCGCATCACCGGTAAAACCACGTGATTTCCAGCGTTTATAGCAATATTATTTCTCCATAGACTTGATGATGATATTTATTAGTATGATTTTCTGCAACCCATGTGTACTCCATTTGTTCGTTCGGATATGTACATAGATCAGCTGGTGCGATTACCCTTTGGTCCTGGGTGGGGTGGACGGGCTTCAGGGGCGGATCCATCAAAATGTATTGGGGGGGGTCCAGGCCTTTAGGTCGAATACACGGGACCGTGCGATTCGAACGATGCTATGCGTAATCCAGATGCATTTTCATGCGTTTGGAG